CCAGAGGACCAAGGGCAGAGCCAAGGCCAGGGTGTCGGAGCCAAGAGCTCGAAGTAGGTCAGGAACCAGTCCTGGGATGGGACTTCAGTCTCTTGGTGAAACCCCTGCTCAGCTCCTTTTCTGCAACATGCCAATGGCTTCAGTGTAACTGCTTCCTGGGAAAGGCTGCTCCTTTTCTCAGGGGTTCATGAGGAAAGCAACAACGTTCCCCATGCCCTGTTGCCTTCTAAGGGGAGCTGACTTTCAAATCTTTTTCCATTCCAGATCTGATCACCGCCCCCCACCCCAGTATTTCTCTAAATACAAAAACCCAAACCATCCCAAACTGACACTATCTTAAATTCTGATGGAAATTTAATAATTGCAGTATAATAAATATAATATACACTTGATCTTAGCCAAAAGGCCGAGAAGCGATAATAATAAATATAATATAAATATAAAGCCGCCAATCCCCCTCCAAGCTGATCTGAGATGAGTGGTTTGAGAAAACAGTGGATGATTTAGACCAGCAGTTCTCAAGCTTTAGACCCCTTTATACTCTTAAAAATTATCTCGGGTACTTCCCTGGTGGCACAGTGGTTAAGAATCAGCCTGCAAATGCAGGAGACACGGGTTTGAGCCCTGGTCCGGGAAGACCCCACGTGCCGCAGAGCAACTAAGCCCATGAGCCACAGCTACTGAGCCTGCGCTCTAGAGCCCATGAGGCACAACTACTGAAGCCCACACACCTAGAGCCCGTGCTCCGCAACAAGAGAAGCCACAGCAATGAGAAGCGCGTGCACCGCAAAGAAGAGCAGCCCCAGCTCGCCGCAACTAGAGAAAGCCCACACGCAGCAATGAAAACCCAACGCAGCCCAAAACTAAATTAATTAATTTTTTTTTAAATGGCAAAAAAAAAATCATCTTGGATTCCAAAGAGCTTTAGTTTATGCAGGTTGTATCTATCAAGTTACTGTACTAGTAATTAAAGCTGAGAATTTTTAAAATGTTTATCCATTTAAAAATAACAATAATAAACTTATTACATGTTAATGTAAATGACATAATTCTTATGAAAAATAGCCACAATTTTCAAGCCAAAAACTAAATCAATGAGAGGAATAGCATTGTTTTGCATTTTTACAAATTGTTTTAGCATCTGGCTTAATAAAAGACAGCTGGCCTCTCATGTCTGCTTCTGCACTCAGTCTGTAGCCATGTGTTGTTTTGGTCGAAGTTGATTATGAAAACCTGGAGTCGTGCACGCAGGTAGTTGGACATCTACTTTTCAGATAGTAACAGAAAGGATCTTGGGCACACCCACGGGTCCTCAGATCCTACTTCGAGAACCACTGGCTTCGGTAATGATGCTACCATGCCCCGGCCCACGTGGATCATGGGGGTGAGGACGAGAGGAGCTCAGGATGAGAGAGAAGATGGCTGGGGACAGGGTTGGGGGGTAAGCAGTCACGGATGGAGTGGGGAACTTCATTATCCATTATCCATTGTCCCCAGTCCTCACTACAGTTGGCCAGGAATAGCCTGAGTCCCCTGGCTCCCTCCTGAGAAAAGGAAATGTTGGGATGGAGCATTCCTATGAGTCAGCCCTGCACCATGATTGGGAGGGATGAAATGCTGAATGGGAACAATTCAGAAGAATTAGAAACAATTCAGGAGAAACAGTACAGGGTACCAGGAAAGGACAGTGCGTCAGTACTCAAGCCAGGATGCACACTGCATCACCTGCAAGGTTTAAATGCTGATCCGATGAGCCTGACCAAAAGCCTGGATGGCAAGAGTTTGGAAAGCTCCGCAGGCGGTTCTAATGTACACCCTGGGGTGAGACCCACCAGATTTGAGTGGGCTCAGGAAGCAATCCACCTGGCTTTGAATCCAAGCTCCACAGCTTACTAGTTGTATGACCTCTGACCAGTTACCCAGCTTCAGTTTACTCATCTGTAAAATAGGAATACCACTAGGGATGTCGGGAATATTAAATGAGATCATCCATTTAAAGTTCTTAGAGCTGTGACTGACACAAAATATGTATTTAGTAAGTGTGAGCTGTCACTGGTTATGGTGATTTTGGTGCAGGCTGTCAGCCTCTGTTGGCTTCCAGGGTGTCTCTGATGAGGGTGCCACGCAGACAGGACCAGGCACCCAAGGGAGGGGCTGGGGTCCAGTCTGAGCACTGCCACAAAGCAGATGTCCCAACTGGGTCCTCCGTCTCCTCATCTGGAAATTCCGGAAGTCAGAGACCTCCCCCAACGCAGGACCCAGTCCTGAATCCTCAGGGAGAGAGAGAGTTGGCCGAGGCGCACAAATGTGATGTCGCTGGAAACAGGTGCAGGAGGAGTTGAAAAGGTGCAGTGAGATTGTTCACATCGTGTGTGTGTGTGTGTGTGTGTGTGTGTGTGTGTGTGTGCGCGCGCGCACGTGCATCTGCACGCACTCTGTAGTCGGGCTGAGATACTGTTTTCCTTTTTAAATTATTGAAACACCTCAAATCTACTGCAGTTGACAGAAGGGAGAAGACAGAGTGGAAACATTTTAATGGCTTTTTCTCAGCCTGTGGGCTGTCCACCGAGCCCTGGGATGAATGAGGCTCGCTCCTCCTTTGTCCTCAAGGACATCATCGTCACATGTTACATGCTGCACTCTGCCTGGGAGCTTATCCAATCATCCCCCAAAGTGAAGAGCAACACACGAGGGCCAGGGAAAGATGGAAGGACCTGGAATGCTCTCTGAACTGGCAGTCCATGACTCAATATTTTCATGAAGAGATGGGATGACTCATGCAACACTTCTAGAATTACTGGACGTGGACAGCCCCTCCAGCTGTTCACAGGGGGAATTTGAGAGCCTTCACATGCAGATGTTCTGCTGAGTCTATGACAGCAGCCCCACGTGATAAGCCTGCAGCCCCAGTGACCGATGACTGACTGGTTTAATTTCCTTCAGGTTCATTGGCTTTTGCAAATTCACACAGAGAGAAGCGCCAAACAGGCTGAAATAACTAACAGAAATGAGCTGGAGGGATCGTCCAGGGCCAATCCTGTGCCTCCCAGAGGAATCACACCTCATCATACAGGACAGAGCTGTCCAGGCTGCTGACGACCACGGAGGGAGCCGTGAAAACAGGGAGATAATTGGATCCAGGGCTTAACACACTTCATCAGTAGCGAGAGTATGCAGGCTAATCCTTCAGGCGTGGGGGGCTCAGGCTGCAACTGATAAACCTCATTAAAGGATCAACCCTCACATCCGGGTCTTGATTTTTGACACTAACTTAAGCCTTAGACATGTTGGGCTGATTAAGGGGGCAGGAGAGTGGCCCCCATGTCAGAATCTCACCTTCCTGCCAGCCCCACACCGGACACATTTGGAGGCCAGATTCTGATGGAGAAAGTGGCTGAAAGCAAAGAGGGATTGGGGTTTTTATGTTCGGTTGCTTGTTTGGTTGTTCATTTGTTTGTTTGGTTGGTTGGTTGGTTGGATGAGAGAGAAGATGGCTGGGGACAGGGTTGGTGGGTAAGCAGTCAAGGATGGAGAGGGGAACGTCATTATCCATTATCCATTGTCCCCACTCCTCACTACAGTTGGCCAGGAGTAGCCTGAGTCCCACTGGCTCCCTCCTGTTTGGATGGTTGGTTGGCTGTTTGGCTATTTGGCTGTTTGGCTGTTGGGTTGGTTGGTTGGTTGGTTGGCTGTTTGGCTGTTTGTTTGTTTGTTTGGTTGGTTGGTTGGTTGGCTGTTTGGCTGTTTGGTTGGTTGCTTGCTTGGCTGGCTGGTTGGTTGGTTGGTTGGTTCGTTGGCTGTTTGGCTGTTTGGTTGGGTGGTTGGTTGGTTGGTTAGTTGTTTGGATGGCTGCATTCACCTCTAAATGTATGTTTCATTGAGAGGCAATTTACTAGCTTGAACATCTACTTTGCCAGCATGTTCTACTTGGTATGAAATGATTTTCCAGACTTTGCCAGCACACTTCACCCTGTTCTGGGGGTATTTCCTTGCACATGCTCTCCGAGGTGACGCTGTGCCCTTGTCACCTTGGAGGGGCTGCTGGACCTCACCAGGAGGTGAGGTGCCAAAGGTCTGCCTGTAATTTCTTCCTCAGGAGAAGATGCTGAGTTCTGTCCCTGCCTCCTCAGGACAGACAGCCAACCAAAGCAGGTAGGTGGGTGGTGATCTGGTCTCAAACACGGACTCAGGCCCCCACCAGCTCTGATCCACACTCCACAGAGAAACGAGACCCCATGGTCTCCTGAATGGAAAAGACCTCCACCCCCTCACTCCTCAGCCTCTCCCTCCGCAGACCACGCTGGGCAGGAAGGGGGCCAGGCTCACGGCAGAACACATTCAGCTCCTCAGCATCTACTGAAGCTCATCCCCAGTTCAGGGCCCTCCCCCAGGGATCTCACCAGGGGGTATTTTTTTCCTGTGTAAAGTGTTAGGTTTAAGGGAGCTATGAAGCTGCATGAATTGACTTAAATTTGCCTAAAATATAGAGCTTCTAATGCCAGCATCACAAAGGAATCCTCTCATCCCATATTCTTTCTTTCCTTCTTTCTTTTAATGAGGCTAAATTGACTAAAATAATTTAACTGCATTGAGAGTGGCAATTTTTAGGCAAACAAGACGCATCCATTTTGGACAAGTCTAAAATGCTTAAAAGGTCCATAAAATTAGTTCACTACGTTTCTCAGATATTTGAGTTTTACACCCCAAATTATATTTGTTTTGTGAACAAATATTTCATTACCTCTGCTCATTCCCCTACTACCTGGCCTGTGGGCTCGGGAAAAGTGAATCAATTAGGTTAACACAGGGAGGGGACAGAAAAGGAGGGTGAAGGAGCCACTCTCCCATACCGACCACATTGTCTGTTTCCCCCAGGGCAAAATTAAAATGTGCTTCCTTCCACAAGTCACAAAAGCAAACAAAACAAAACAAAATATTTTTCTTTCTCTGTCTCTCTCCTTCACTCACACACTGTACACCAAAATAACAATGAAACTTACCTGATCCTGAATTGTACATTTTATCAGAGGCAAACCCATGGTAAACATCACTCTCTGAAATGTCAAAGCTCTCATTTCATCCAGACTCAAATCATACCTGTGACAAATGGATACAAAATGGATGTTAAGACGTTGGATTGATGGTGACCATGAGTGGAGCCTTTGGACCCAGGGATCTGACAGAACAGACATCTTTGTTGGGTCTCTCTGTAGCTCTTGTTTGATGCTATGCGTCAAAGGAGGCCACCATGTGTGTGACACAGACTGTGGGGGGTGGTCAAAATGGAAGGAAAGAAAGAAGGGTTCCCTGACAATGACCTTAAAACAAGACTCTAACATTTCCTCCTCTACCCAAGTGTCTGGGATGGCAACATGGGGCAGATGGGAGAGACCTGTGTGGTGGCCCCAGGAGTGCCACCTAGAATTTCCTTCAAGAGAACCCACAGTGGGAGCAGCATTTCCCAGCAACCTGCAGCTGCCATTCCTTGGAATTAACCTTGGCGTTGGCCCCAGGCTGCTCTGCCCTCAGGCTGCTCCTGGCTGGTGATGAGCCTGGCAAGGTTCTAGACTCAGGCCATTCCTGCCCACCAGGAGACTTTTGCCCAGGGACCCCCAGCAGCCCACTCAGACTGTCTCGTGATGGTGCCAGGCCCTTTCTTCTCCCTCATTTCATGGTGTCAGCCCTGCTCGCACACATCCCAAAGGTTCCCCCACCTCCTGCAACTCCCTCCCTGTGACCCTTCTAGATGTTCCCCCAGTAAGTCGCTTGCACATCTAGTCCCATCTCCGTGCCTGTTTCTCAACGAACCTCGACTGACATAGGAGGGGAGGATCCATGCTGTCGCCTAAAGTGTTTAAACACAAAGCACAGCCAGAGTTTGGGGGGAACCGCACTCAGGTTTGGATGCTGACTGCCACTAACTGCGTGACCAACATCAAGTGGCCTGCCGTGGCTCCATCCTCCCATCTGTAAGATGGGAATGAGAGTCACGCATAACTCAGAGGAGTGTCATTTCAAATGCTTGGACTAGGGCTTGCATATATATGGTAAGTGTTCAATAGTAGTAACTGCCATTCACGCTCTTAGTTACCCCATCTCCTCCTTCTCAAGGGCAGGCACTGCGTCAGACCCGTTTCTACAGTCCCAGCACCCCGACAAGGCCTGGCCCACGTGAGGCCCCATTCAGTGGTGGGTGAACTTAAACGTATTTGGGTCCTCAAGTTTCACGACCAGGTTGTGGAGGCAGTGTCCCCATGGATTCCCCCAAAGACAGGCTTACTACACATACTGTCCTCATGTCAAGTTTATTTCCACCCAGAACACAAACTGCATGCATTCAGAGTCCACATCTTAAACTCCTGTGTAGCCCCTGAGGACCAGCAGAGCATCTCACATTTAAACATTTTCCCTAAATACCTGCTGGCCAATTGCCCCAGACCAAACAAGAACCATCTTGACTTTCTCTCTTCCATCCAGTCTGCAGGTAACTGAAAAATCCAAGAGGACCCACTGTGCATTCGTGAAGGTAAAAGATAACCCCCCAACCAAAAAAAAAAAAAAAAAAAAAAAGCCAAATGGTCACAAAAACTCCCTAACAAAAAACTCTTGAGACAGGACAGGCCCATTCTTACTTTTTTCTTTTTCTGAGTCAGAACCACTGGTGGGGATTTCAGTAGAAACATTACTGCATGAAGTCAGTATTTTCCCTAAGGAGAACAGAAAATTAAAATGCCAATTTCAATAAAATGGGAGACTGGGAAAATCTCCAGATTTGAACATACAAGTAAGGCCTGCCCAAAGCATCTGAGTCAAGCGGCTTTGGCAGGAGGAACTGAAAAGAAGAACCACAGAAAGAGATCTCACAGCACAAGGGCCAAATGGTGACCGATCTCAGGAAATGCTAGTAAAAATTCACTTCCTAAATGGAAGATGTGTACATCGAGACGTAAAACCTATAGCTCTTATCTGGAAAGCGGGATAGGAATGGCAGTGAGCTAGCAGATAGCAGGAAGCAAGCTGGTCTCTGAGCTATAGGTTTAGGGTCAGGGTGACATGAAGAATCACATGCACAGGTCACGTTTGAGAGAAGTGGTCTATCTCAGTGGCAGCGAGGAAGGAAAAAGTTTCCATGTTATGAAAAGGACCCACCCTGGATCACTATCCAAGCTTTCCCCAGCTCCCCAACCCTGAAACCCCTTAGAAAATCCAGGCTAGAAATCATTCAGTTTCACTCACATCATTCAGTTATAAGTAATAAAGAGAAATTAGCATAGAATTGAAACAATGACCCTACAAAGAGCAGCAAATCTATTAAAAAACTAAAAACGCTCATCGGGGGAAAAGAGTCATCCTGTAGCAAATAAAAATTGTGACCAAATATTATCTACATATTATATAAAACCAGTGGTGTGGGACTTCCCTGGTGGCACATTGGATAGGAATCCGCCTGCCAATGCAGGGAACACAGGTTCGAGCCCTAGTCCGGGAAGATCCCACATGCCGCAGAGCAACTAAGCCCGTGCGCCACAATTACTGAGCCTACACTCTAGAGCCTGTGAGCCACAACTACTGAGCCTGCATGCCACAACTACTGAAGCCCACACGCCTAGAGCCCATGCTCCGCAACAAGAGAAGCCACCACAGTGAGAAGCCCGTGCACTGCAACGAAGAGTAGCCCCCACTCACCGCAACTAGAGAAAGCCCGCACGCAGCAAGAAAGACCCAACGCAGCCAAAAATAAATAAAATTAAATCTTTAAAATAAATAAATTAAATTAAATAAATAAATAAAACCAGTGGTGTGTTAGAGCCAGTTTAAATTAGCTCATGAGATACAATTGTTAAATGTTAAAGAATTTTTGTGAACTAGTTTTTAAACACAGTCATTATCAAAAATTAATATATAGAAAGTTGCACTGAAATAAATTCTATTTTAAAAATAAAAGTAATACTCATCCCTTCCTAATTATGTTATTAGATTTTACTATTATCTATGTTCTTTGGGTTGTTTATGTGTATTGGTGGAAATACTATATAATGGAGGACTTCCAGTCCTGCCAAGGTGCAATAACCTCATTCCTCCCAGATCCTCCCTCTTACAACTAAAAAACCCTAGACACTGCACAATAAACAAGCATAGGATGACTGAAAAGTACAAAGAAGAAGGCAGACCACCTGGGGGAACACAGAATTTGAGGAATGCCATGCCAGCAAATTCTCTGGGTTTCTTTATTGCCTCCCATGTATGTATGCTGGACAAGATGCTATAGAATCTTCCAACCCAAAATCTCCAGCAGACACAGACAAAAAGTACTCCAAGAGAAGCCTGTTCTCCTTAGCTGAAGGATGCAAAAGGGTCTGAAGTTGCTAGGCAAACAACAGACTGCCTTTGGGAGTGTGGGCAGGGAAGCAGACCATCAGAACTGGCAGTGTGGATGTGCAGCAGGATTCCCAGCATCAGTTGGGACAGGAGGCTTTCAGATCACATGGGCTGCCAGGAGGCTTGCAGAGACGTGGGCTCAGCTAAAATCTAGCCTCAGAGTGGGGAGCTCTGGAGTATAAGTGGCATCACAGAGTTGTCCCACTCTGTCAGTCAGTAGCTGTGGGCATTCCCAGGGAGAAAGCATAACCTCAGGCATTTCCTGGGAAGGTCGCTCCCATTGGGCAAGGACAATTCCAAGGAGCTTTGCTGTGAGTTGATACCAGTCAACGTTGATAGCAGCTAGGAGATGAGTGTAGAGGCCTGGTAAAGGGATCAGCGTGGGGTATCAACAGCAACTGCTACAGAAATCAGGAGAAGAAAATAACAAATTAAACTAAAGGAAAGGAGAAAAAATAAATTATTAAAAGCAGAGAAGTAATCAGTTAGGAAATAGAAAAGTATAACTAGTAAATCCGAAAGCTGGCTCTTTGAAAACAACCACCATAGAGGTTTTCGTTAAACATTGTACTGGGGGAGTCAGCCAATGCAATTAGACAAGAGAACAAAATTTAGAGAAATCGAAATTGGAAAGAAATGGGCAAAACTCTCTATTTACCGATGATGCATGTGTTAGATTGATTGTATTGATGGCCTCTCTGCTTGACCTCTCCTTGATCCCTGTCCTCTGACACTGCAGTTCTCATAAAGAGGCAGAGTCTGCTTCCCCAACCCTTGAGTCTGAGCTTGGCCATGTGACTTGCTTTGGCCATTATGCTATTGGTATCTTTGAGAGACGCAAAGGCTCGAAAAAGTATTTGTGCATTTCCTTGCTCTCTTACTCCTCTGAAATCCCCCCTGAGAATATGCTTGAGATAATCTAAGAACATGCCTGGACTAGCCTATGGGGTGGGGTGGGGTGTATAAAGTAAGAGACAAGTATGAAGAGCTCAGTTGTATCAGCCAAAGCCATCACAGACCAGCCTACCTCCAGGCAACCCCTAAACATGTGGAAGAAGCCAGTCAAGATCAGAAGAGCTGCCTATTCAACCTACAGCTGACTACAGATTCATGAATGAGCCCAGACAAGACTAGAAGAACCCCCCCAGCCACCCACAAACTCATGGTCCATAATATTGATCAATTATTGTTTTGAACTGCTAAGTTTTGCATTATAGGTAACTGATACAATAGTCCTATATACCTGGAAGCCCGCAAGACAACTAAAATTACTACAAACAATAAGAGTTGGCAGGATACACAATTAGTAGAAGTTAATGGCTTCCATACAGATACATAAACAATCAGTTAGAAAGTACATGAAAGAAAAGATCCCAGTTGCAAACGTAATAAAACGAAAGAAAAATATACTTAAGAATAAACTTTTTATACGTACATAACTTACCTGAAGAAAACTTTAAAACACTCCTAAAGTACACAAGCAAAAACTTGGTCAAATAGAAACATGGACCATTTGTTTTAATAGGAAGAAACACCACAAAGAAATCAATTCTCCCTAAGTTAATTTATGCAGTCAATATGACCTAAATAAAAACACCAATAAGGGATTTTGAAGTTCACATATGAAAGGAAACAAGCAAAAACAACCAGAAAAACTCTAAAAATGAGGAGCTATGATCTGTGTGATAAGGCCTCAGTAATTCAACCAGTGCAAAAAT